TTTCGCTTAGCATTATACTCTAGACCCATACATGTTGTCACAGATGGCAAGATTTCATTCTTTTTTATGACTAATATTCCAGTGTGTGTGTGTGTGTATGTGTGTGTGTGTGTGTGTGTGTGTACACACCACATCTTTATCCATTCATCTATCCGTGGACACTTGGGCTGTTTTCATAATTTGGCTATTGTAAATAATGCTGCAGTAAACATAGAGGTACACATATCCTTATGAATTAGTATTTTCATATTCTTTGGGCAAATACCCAATAGTGCAATTACTGGATTATAGGGTAGTTCTATTTTTAATTTTTTTCAGCAATCTCCGTACTGTCTTCCGCAGTGGCTACACCAGTTTGCATTCCCATCAACAGTACACAAGGGTTCCTTTTTTTCCACATCCTCGCCAACACTTCTTATTTCTTGTGTTTTTGAATTTAGCCACAAAAAATTCATTTGACTTGCTTTATTGTGATATTTGCTTTATTGCGGTGGTCTGGAATGGAACCCGCAATATCTCCAAGGTATGCCTTATTATTATAGAACACTGAGTATAATGCAAGACACCTATGTTCTACTCTGGCTCTGCCACTAATGAACATTTGCATGCTATTGAGTCAGTAATTTGCTCCAGGGCTGCCATTTCCCCAAGAAGTTCATCAGAGTAGGTGAAGTGTATGTTTTCTTCCAACCTAACCATGACCAGATCTCTTTCAGGAATAAAATAATATTAAATTTGTGTCGATTGTCCTTAGATATCATAATAAAATTTACAGTTGATATATTTGTAAAAATAAGTGTGTGTTTGTATAGTATACTCATAAGAAAATCTTACAACTTTAAACTCCTGTATAGTTCTTATAATCCTGTGACACTGTTTACTTATCATTTTACTTTGTTCTTTGTGAGTTTCAATAAGTTATACATTCTGTCAACTTAGACTTGCTTTTTTCCCCTTTTGAATGAAAATGGTATATACTTATGATTAGTTTCTAATTAGTAAGACTTTAATTACTGATAATTTCATTTATCATAAAAATGAGATTTAATTGACTAATTTTTTAAAATACACATATAACCAATATTTTATTTAAATAAGCAGATGTAAGTGTCAAAATGGTGAATCGATAGTGAGGATTAAATATTCAATTATTTTTCTTTTTAGTTGAGTTGTATTCCTGGGCCTTGTCCAACTTCAGATGATTTGAAATATACTATGACTCGTTTAGCAGTAGATGGAGCAGATATTTATATTGTGGAGCATGGCTGTGCTACAAATCTAAAGGTATACTTTTGTCTGTTTCTTGGCCAGTGTAGTTCTTTTAACATTCTACCAAACCAAACTTCCATTTCTTTTTTTTTTTTTTTTTAAGATTGATTGATTTATTTATTTTAGAGCGAGAGAGAGAGCATGAGTGGGGGGCTGGGGGGAGGAGAGTGGGAGAACAAGAGAGAAGCAGACTCCCCACTGAGCGTGGAGCCAGACATTTGGCTCTCACAGCCCTGAGATCATGACCTGAGCCAAAATCAAGAGTCAGTCGCTTAACTTACTGAGCCACCCAGGTGCCCCCAAACCTCCATTTCTTGAGGTAGGACACACATTTATAATTTGCCATCTCACAAAACACTACACAATTCCAGGAGATAGCTTTCTGTTTTTGGCTTGTCCATGTTCTCTTCCAGGCTATTTCTTCACTACTATTTTACTCTAACTGAATTATAACTTTGCTTTATGGCAGGGATGTAAACTTGGAGGTTGCTTTTATGGCAGGGATTAAATTGGTAGTGTTTTTAAAAGATTTGATTTTGAATGCCTTTAGGTTTTGTACATTTATATCCTGCCTGGCTCCTGAAAACATTTGTTTGCCACCTCTGCTTTGTGGGTTACTGCTTAAAATTAAACCTTGTTAAAAGTCTGTGATTTTATTACTTACTACCAACATTTCTTTCTTCCTTCTCTTATTTTCCTTTCGACTTATGTTCTTTTCCTTTTATCCTCTTTTTTGTTAACTGAATGTCTACTTTTATTCTGTTGCATTTATCTTTTCTATTTCCCTTTTTTCTCTTTTCCCTTCTTTCATGCAATTTGGAAATAAATAACTGTTCTGTAGTTTATTCTAAGTTGCTTAAGAATACAGAAACTACAGTTTTATTTCGTTTTCTTCATGCAATTTAGATGGGTGCAATTCGAGTTGCAAACTGTAATCTCCACAATCAGTCGGTTGGGGAAGGAATAAGTGCTGCAATTCAGGATTTTCAAGTGAGACAGTACATTGAACAATTAAATAATTCCAGAGTTGGACTTCAGCCTGCAGTACTACGGAGGGCCTATTGGCTTGAAGCGGGGTCAGCCAATTTAGGACTCATTACTGTTGATATTGCCTTAGCTGCTGATCATCATTCTAAACATGAGGCTCAGAGACATTTCTTAGAAACTCATGATGCCAGAACTAAGAGGTAAGTGAAATTTAAGGAAGTTAATGGTCCCAAGTTCAGACAAAAATTACCTTATAATTATAGAGGAAATTCTACTGTTAGGAATGGAATAGGAACATTTTACATAAAGACTAAATATGATTGTGCTGGGTACACCACAGTGGAGGTATAAGAACCTGATATTTAAGTAAATATGTTGTATATCTCATCTCTGATAATGGTATGGTTGATGGAAATAACAGTTTTTTATTGTGTTTCCAAGCCCATACTATGTGTATTAGCAGTGAAATGAGTTTAAATTACTAGTTCCCAAATAAGGTTTTATAGAGCACTACTCCCCTTTCTCTCTCACCACAGCCTTCCACTTTGATTTCATCATTTCTAGAAAACATCATTGCTATCACCTTGTACTCTAAAAAACTCTTCCTTTTGTGAGCTCTCACAACTGCAAGGGAGACTAAGGGAATATAATCCTCAAGAAACAGTCATTAAGAAATAATTGTATCTGCCATTTAAAAAGTTGCCAGAGCCTCTTACTAAATCATGTCCATTTAAAGTGCCAATATAACTTTTTTCCATCCCCATCTCCCTCATTATAAAGTTAATATGAGCTTATTTTAAAAATTGAGAAAACTATTATGAAATAAAGGAAAATAATTGCCATAACCTTACCACACTGAATTTGTCATATTTCTTCCCCATATTTTTAATGTATCTTTCTTATACTTGAAATCATCCTGTATTTATAAATTCTGCATGTTTGTGTTAAACTTCTATCCTAAGCATCTGCCCATATGATCGAAAATTTTATAAATTTCCTTTCAAACAAATGATAGAACACCATCAAAAAGATATATTGTACTTTATTTAGCCATTGCCCTTAAATACATATATAAGTGTTTCTAAATTTTTCATTATAAATAATAGTAAGAGGAACATTTTTTTGCACATAAAATCTTTTCCCACATGTTCTTTAAATTCCCTTTAAATAGTTTCCTTAGAAGGGGGGTGTGACTGTGCTAAAAACTGGACCTTTTGATATGCATTCCCAAATTCCCAGAAAGATTATTTCACTTTATATTCCCAGTGGCTTTTTAGGAGAATCTGTGTCTCACTGTATCTTTGCTATCCTTTATGTTTTATGATAACTGAAAGATGATATTTCTGTTTTATTTTGCGTTTCTTTATTTCTGAGATTAATACTTTTTTCATGTATTTACTGGTGGTTTTTATTTCCTCATTTGTGAATTGCATATTACTATTCTATGTATATTTATTTATTGGCATATTGGTGTATTTCTTACCAATTTTTAAGAGCTCTTTATAGATTATCTCCTTTCAGTAGTCCCTGTTCCTAATATTTTGCAATTTGTTTCATTTTTAAATTTTTTAGTCTTATGTACAGACTTCAATTTTTGTGCACTCAAATATGTCTGTTTGTAACCTTTGTAATTTCTTGTATTAATTTGAGAAAATATTTCTTTTGCTAGTAGTCACATGGCACCTGTATTTTCTTATTTTTTTCTATTCCTTTTTTCTGGTTGTTAACATATAAAAGTTTGTTTTTTTGTTTTTGAGGTTTTTTTTAGAGAGATAGAGAATGAGAGAGCATGTGCATGGGTGCACATGGTTGGAGGGGAGGGCAGGAGCAGAGAGAGAATCTTAAGCAGGCTCCATGCTCAGCCCAGAGCCCAATGGGGGGCTCGATCTCATACCCTAAGCTTAAATCAAGAGTTGGATGCTTAACCAAGTGAGCCACCCAGGTGCCCCTCTATCTGGATTTTGAATGGTGTGTTTGTATTAATCCAGCCAAGGGTGTAAATAGATTTTTTTTTGCAAATATGTATTCAAATACAGGAGTAAAAATTTATACCTAATACACATTTATTTTTCCATTTCATCACAAACGTTTAGGTATTTTCATCTGTTAATTTCCTAAAAGAAGTATTATTCTTGTTTTAAAAAATTCTGAGTTTTTTACTGAGATTACGTTAATCTTTTAAGTTACTTTAAGCCTGACGTCTTGTAAACCTGAGTATGGAAGCTCATTTGTGGGAAATAATGTTTTAAAAAAACTTTGGTTTCTTTGTTAATTATTGCTCAGGAAGCCAGTTACTATGAACAAAGTTCCTGGGTCTAATTAGGTCAGATGGTAGAACAAGGTGCTAATGAAGCGAAGGAAATGGCACCACGTGATTCAGGTTCCAGGTGTTCAAGTAAATCCAACTATTTAGATTGGTATCAGTGCTTTGTTTGGTTAAAAATTGTGAAGAATGGGATTTTATCCTACTTGCAAGCTAACAAGTTAGCCTGCCACAGTTTCACGGATGCTGCCAGAAGACACAAGACTCCTGGTCAGGGACAAAGGACTTTATTACAACAAAAGCATGAACCGGAGTCATATGTGTTTTTATGGGTTCCCTGTGCCCTCCAAGTAGGGTTGCCAGATGAAATAGAGGATGCCTAGTTAAATTTGAATTTCAGATAAACAACAAATAACTTTTTAATATAGATGTGTCATATTGTCCCATACATTGCATAGGACAAACTTATTTTTATTTGCTATATTTGGTAGCCCTATTCATGAATCTTATGGAGGTGACACAAAAAAGTCCATGATGGATATCTACACACAGTGGGATGCATTATAGAAGAGGAATATTGAACTTAGGGGTTCTATCACTTTTATAATAAGTGGAAGCAAACCTACTCTTTTCCAGGGTGAGACATTACTTCATCTCTTTAGGTTGTTTACTGCCAGTACAATCCCAAGCAATAGCCTGGTCAGGGCTTTGCAATCTTGGCATACCCACAAGAACAGGTAGGGATGTTTAGGGCATATTGGGAATTGCCCTCCCAACATGATAACTCATTGACCTTCAGCTTTGGCTGCCTATGTGCATATTTGTTTCCCAGGAGTTTTGGAGCCTACATGTATTCTTTTTTGATATAACTGGAAAAGTTACTGGACACACAGGTCATTAGTTTCTTTAGTGTTTTTGAAAAGTATGGTTCCCAAACCACCACCACCAGTGTCTCCTTGGAACTTGTTAGAAATTTACATAATCAGGTCTTACTAGACCTCAGTCAGAAACTCTGGGGGTGCAGCCCTGCTCTCCATAGTATAATAAGCCCTCCAGGTAATTCTAATTCAAGCTAAAGTTTGAGAACTAGTGCATTGGATTGTAATAAAGGTAGGGAAGGGGAGCTTACATTTGTTATGCAACTTCTATAGTCCAGATTTTATATCAGGTGCTTTACATTTAATCTTCAAAACAGTCTTATTAGGTATATCAGACCACAATTTTACAGTTGAGGAAACTGAAGCTCAGAAATGTTAACTAATTGACCAAGGTCCTAGAGTTATTAAGTGGCACAGCTGGAATTTGAATCCATGTCTAGATGAATGCAAACCCATGCATTTTACTAAGCTTTGTGCTACACAAATGAGCTCAAAAAGTGTATGGAATATGTAAGGTCTTTTATTTTGTTAGTGCTTACAATAGTTTGCTGAGTGACTGAATCTTAATGCTTTAAAATAGAGAAGCGATTTGAATTTGATAACATTTTACTAAAGTAATATGTCAGATTCTCCCTAATCCTAAGGCTTTCTCACATATTTTTCCTTCTGTCCTCTAGACTGATGTTTCACTTCTATCTTGATATAATTCATCTCATCTTTCACATCTCAAATATTACTTTTTGAAAGATTCCTTCTATTTTCCTTGTCACAATACTTTGTGTTTTTTGTTTTGTTTTGTTTTTACCTCATAGCACTCAGTATAATTTATGATTAGATATTTTTTTTTGTGGCTTGCCTTTGCCTCTGTACTCTGAACTTCGTATGGATAGGACTGTGTCTGTCAGTTTCACCTAGCACAATACTAGGCACATATAAATATGTTCAAGAAATATAAATGAGTGAATGTAAAATGAAAATGATAATACCTATTCTGTCTTCCTTGAGGGCCCTGAGGATCCAATGAGATAATGCCTGTAAAAATACTTAGAAAGACTGTTAATATGAGGTGATTTTAATATTTAAAGTTAAAAAAGAGGAACAAAAATATAGCGCCCGTATTTGTATTATATAATATTTTTTTAAGAAAGTAGGAGAGTTAATACACTGATGGGTTTTTGTGTGGATCATTCACAGAACCCAAAAAATTTTACACACATTTTCTCCCATTGTCCTAATTCTTAATACTTTGTTCAGAGTCCTTATTCCAAAATTATTACAGTTTTTCCTCTAATAAAGAATGGGTTATTTTGGTTTTATTGAGAAATAGGTTTCTTATTTGCCCTACATTTATAGTGTTTTGGTGTATTTGCCATGTGAAATAGGCTCTGAAATGCTAACGGTGATAAATTATGTATTTGGTATAATCTGTACCAATAGTTTTGTCCATTTTTTACATTAATATTTAAAATTTTTAGTCCTTTTGAGAATATTTACTACTGTTTTTAAATGGAACTTAAATGTCTGATCTTTATATTTGCTTCTTTTTAGTTCTTTTTTTTAGGTATGCTATATCTCTCTTTCTGTTCCTACTTATTTTCATCTCATCGTGGTGAGACTATTTTTTTTAAGAAGACAAAATGGTTAGACACTCCACAGTAAAATAAGCTTTTGTGTTTGTGTTTACCTTGTCTTTTAAAAATATTAACAATTTTAATTAATTATCTGCCAAAAAGTTTATTTCCTAATGAGTTTTTGTTATGGTGTTGCTTTTGTTTGTTTTGTCTTGGGTTCTGTTTAGGTTGTGGTTTTTGTGGCCAGATGATACCCTGAAGAATAAGAGGTGTAGGAACAAGTGTGGTTGTCTCGGTGGCTGCAGATTCTTTGGTGGCACAGTAACTGGCCTAGATTTCTTCAAACTTGAAGAGTTGACACCTTCCAGTAGTTCTGCATTTTCAAGCACGAGTGCAGAGTCTGATATGTATTATGGACAGTCTCTGCTACAGCCTGGAGAATGGATTATTACTAAAGAAATTCCCAAAATTGTAGATGGTAATGTGTTATTTTGTTACTTGTGCTAATCTTTTTTATCTTTATCCTTATGCCATGCTGAGAGAAGTTCAGTGTTACTTTGTTCAGCTCAATTCTTTGAGTGGTCTTATAGGTAGGATTCAGTTTAATCTTCCTTTGTTTTGCAGGTGATTTAACTAAAGCCAGAGAAGACTAGTGAGTTTTTTACAGTTACACAAGGCAAAAGTAGGTCTACCCTTCAGATCTATTGTTGACATTGGTGATTTTCCTAGCTTATTCTGAGTATTTCCTTATATATCATTTTCCTAGACCTCAGCTTCCAGAGATTTACTTAAGAATAGCTGTGCTTCAAGGTAACAGTTGTTTTACCAGTTTACTTTTATAGGAAAACTTAGTAGTAATATTTATACTGTTGGCCCTCATATTACCAACTATTTTGCAAGATATTCTTTATATCACTAAAATTGAACATGTCAAGAAGAGAAATGTGGCTTTAGACCCTGTAGGATAACTTTGCAAATACAAAAGTGTGTGATATGAGCAGTAAATGGTGGCTTTCAGTATACTAGATTTAGATTTATCTAGCATCTTTTCTCTGAAGACTTCAGAAGTGGATTTTCCTTTGGGGTTTTTAGTTGTATGTTCCCACAGTTAAGTGCAGTATTTACTGCTTAAGTTGTCATGCTGTCAAGAAGTGAAATGTGGAAAAATCTTGGTATTTTATATTTTATATTAGCCTTTTTCCCTTTATTCAAAAACATTAACAGCACTGTTTTGTCAGTGGACAAAAAGGGAGAAAAGAAGTTTCAACTTTAAAAGTTCATTGATTTCCCATGTATAAGGAGCCCTTAGAAGAAAGAGCTGGACTGCATATACCAAGTTCTTGCTTTATGATTTTTCACTAAATATTAATACATAAGTATGTACATCTTATTTAAGGTTTAACTTCAGCAATTTTGCCTAGAATAAGAGCAGATTATCCTATAAAATCTGCAAACATCAAAAGTTCTTGACAAAGGATAGGGAAGATGCTAAATAAAATTTATCATTTTTCTTACAATATTACTTTATTACTTTGAATAATGTTTGTTTTTAAAGGTTTTCACAGGTATTTTCTCATTTACTCTTTAAGCTACCATGTGAGTTCTGTATTTTCCTTGTTTATAGTGAAGAAAGTGAGGCTCATCACTGAGAGGGAGTTGCACAAAGTCAGATGGCTAAGCAGAAACTAGAATCAGGGCCATCAAAGCCACTTCAGTGTTCTTTCTACCATACTACAGCTGGCACTAATTATAAACACTGCTCGATTTTCTGATCTGCAGATCAAAGTTTAACCATCACAAAGGGAAGGAAGAAAATCTACAGGGAATTTACACATGGTATAAAAGAGGGAAGAGAGCAAATTCTCTAACTGAACAAAGCAAAGCTCATTATAACTCTTATAATGTATAATAGAGATTGTTTCTCCTACTGATTCTTTCAGGAGTGAGCTATAATTCCCAAATCACTGTGAGTTTACTATAGAATTAACCCCTATGTAAGTATCTGACTTCTGATTGTTGAAGTTTCTAGGAGCCAAGTATAGATAAGCAGTGTTAGGATACAATCGACAGGGCACATGGTAGAATGCAGGATTTCCTTGGAAGGTCAGTGACCACTAGTTTCCCACCACTTAGAAGTGAATGAAACCCATTTTTCTTCTGACATTTATTCTGATTTTTCCATTTGTGGTAGTAGAAGCGAATAATATTACTATATTAAAAGTTCTTAAGTCTTCTTTCCCTTAAATTCCATCTAGAAATGTATTCTGCTTGCAGAGGTGTTTTCTCCTACTAACGGGTTCTTCTTTCTTGGGTAACATAGGGATGGCTGGAGGAGAATAGAAACTGGGCAGGAGTTTTTGTTTGTTTGTTTTGTTTTTTAATTTAAGCAATTTAGAACTCTGCTTTCATCCCCTCACCCCAATTTACATAACATGTCTTATAAAAGGCTGAGGAAATGTTCCACATTAAAGAATACATGACAACTGAATGCAATAATATATGATCCTAGATTGAATCTTGTACTGGAAGGGGCAGAGGTGCTTTAAAGGACATTATTGGGTCAATTGAGAAAATTGGAAGGCACATGGTAGATTAGATAACAGTATTGTATGAATACTAAATTTACCAAGTTAATAATTATATAGTTATTAATATTATTCTTCAGAAATAAACACTTAACTGTCTAGGATAAAAGGTCACTATGTCTGCAAATTGCTCTCAATTCAAAAAGTTTTATGTATATATTATATATATTAGAGCAAATGTGGCAAAATGTTTAAAATAGGTAATTCCGAGTAAAAGGTAATATGGTGGCTTGGTATTATTCTTTAAAGTTTTCTGTAAGTTTGAAAATTTTCAAATAAAGTTTAAAAAAATAAGAAAAAATTCACTGTCTGTGGACTCTGGACCCATACTTAATGTAGATATCTTTCTATAGTGTTTAGGGTATTGCTATGTGAAATTGGATATTTGTGCTTTTAAAAAATGATTATATTTATAAAAATAGGGAATTGGATTAAGTGCTCTTATTTTTCATAAATTACTTTTGAAATTGTTACGTTCATGTAACCTACTTTTTTGTTTGTTTATTCAGGTAATGTGAATGGCATGAAGAGGAAAGAATGGGAAAACAAATCAGTGGGAATAGAAGTAGAAAGAAAAACTCAGCACCTTAGTCTTCAAGTACCATTACGATCTCATAGCTCATCCTCTTCCTCAGAAGAGAATAGTAGTTCTAGTGCTGCACAGCCTTTATTGGCTGGAGAAAAGGAAAGTCCCTCTTCTGTTGCTGATGACCATTTGGTCCAAAAAGAATTCTTGCATAGTGCAAAAAGAGATGATGGTCAAGTAAGGTCAGTATTCAATTATATTAAGAAAATAGATTGGAAATTATAATAAGATTATAATTACTTAAAATTTTGGCAAGAAAAACTTTTCCCTCTCAACTAATCCACTATAGAAAATTCTTTTCTCCTCCTGAACATATTTTTAAATGTCCATTTGCTATTGTCTTGCTAATTATAAAATTAATACATTTATATTCGTTCCAGAAATAGGAAAATACAGAAAAATATAGTGAAAATAAATATTTCTTGTCATACCACAGATATGAAAATTTTAGATTTTCCTCCAACCTCCTTGGCTATTCCTTCTTATTCCCTATTTCCATGTCCTCCATTTTTTTCCCTCCATTTCTTCTTTTTCTTCCTCTTACAGCCTGCCATTTGTTAGATGTTCTGGATACTCAGGACTCTGTTCTGTGCCTTTATCTCCACTCACTCTATACTGTTTCCCTAGACAGTCTCAGTAACTGTTTGGCTTCAATTATGATCTATAGCCAACATCTTTTAAATGTAAAACTCTAGCCAAAACTTTTGTCCTTGTAGGCGCAGCTACCTTTTTGATATTTCTACTTGTATGTTTCATGGAGACCTTAAACTCAGCCCATAAAAAGTGACCTTGCGCCTCTCATGCTCAACTTGTTCTTCCTCAGTAAATGGCACTAGCATCAGTTGCTGAAGGTGGTGATAGTGGGACTATCTCCTTTAAATCCTTCTCCTTTAACCAAAGCCCTTGTAGATTTTGTTGGACAAACTTTTAAAGAATGTAAAAAAAAAAAGTTATAAATGTATTAGTGTCCAGGAATTATGGATGGAAGATTATACTTTGGGTTTAAGTTTTTATTATGTTGTAAACTGCCTTAATTTTTTTTGGAACTACATGGGGTATGAACACATATTGTGCTGTTTTGTTACTTTGTATAGATATTTCATTGTAAAATTTTAGATTTTCCTTTATTTATAAAATAAATGATTAAGATTACTATAAAAATTTTATAAGTACTTCTGTTTATACTTAAATTATACAAGGTACAGTAATGGTAATAACTTTGCTTTCCATTTTAGTATTCCTACAGAAATTTCAGGAAACAGCCCTGTGTCTCCTAATACTCAGGAAAAGTCAGTAGGTCAATCTCCTTTGAGATCTCCCTTGAAACGGCAAGCTTCTGTATGTTCCACTCGACTTGGGAGTACCAAGAGCCTTACTGCTGCTTTTTATGGGGACAAGCAACCTGTTACAGTTGGAGTCCAGTTTAGTAGTGATGTCTCCCGAAGTGATGAGAATGTATTAGACTCACCAAAGCAGAGAAGAAGTTTTGGTTCATTTCCATACACACCGTCGGCAGACTCCAATTCATTTCATCAATATCGGTCAATGGATTCCAGCATGTCAATGGCTGATAGCGAAGCCTACTTTTCTGCAGCTGAAGAATTTGAGCCCATTAGCAGTGATGAAGGCCCTGGAACTTATCCAGGTAGAAAAAAGAAGAAAAAGCAAACACAGCAGATTGACTACAGTAGGGGTTCCATATATCACAGTGTGGAGGGACCACTTACTGGCCATGGAGAAAGCATTCAGGATCCCCGAACTCTGCCATTCAAAACTCATCCTTCCCAGGCTTCATTTGTTTCTGCATTAGGTGGAGAAGATGACGTTATAGAACATCCCTATGTTGTAGAGGTTGAGAAAACAGTAGAGAGTGAACAGATTACTTCTCAACAACCTGTGATGAATTGTTATCAGACTTACCTTACTCAGTTCCAGGTACTTAATTGGTCAGTGAAGCACCCTTCTAACAAAAGAACCTCTAAGTCCTCATTGCATCGTCCCCTCGATCTCGATACTCCAACCAGTGAAGAAAGTTCATCGTCATTTGAACAGCTTTCTGTTCCAACTTTTAAGGTATAAATCAGATCATTAGTTTCCACTGATAGGTTTACTTAGATAAATCAATTTTTAAGATGTTTCCAAAATTATTCTCTCAGTTATTTTAACTACCTCTCTAAAAGAAGGAATTTTTGAAGTCATGGCTTCATGTGTGACAATAAATCTCAGGGTTACTGATGAGTATTATAAATTTAAACATCTCAAATTGAGGAATAGTTTCAGACTTGATTGCCACAATGTTAGTCAGTTAACATATAGTCTCTATATTATGCTTTAAGATTAGGAACAAGTTTATGAATTCAAATTTTTGTGTGTCTTAAAAATAAAATTTTGAAATTATTTTTAATAGCTGGTGTTCTTTCTACTTAATCTGTAATTGCTGCTGTGCAAATCCAATTCCATGCACTTGACATTTGAGATCTTATAATTTAGCAGGAATTGGTTATTGTCCATTTCTGTAATGAATTCTGTAAATAGCTTTTTAAAGGAAAACTGAAAATACGTCAAAATAAATTTAGTGATAATAACCAATGCGAAAACTATTTTTATAAAATTATACATTTATAAGAGATTTTTTATGATTTTAAAGAACAAAATTAAGCAAGTCAAATCTTATGGAAGGAACTGAATAACAGTGTGTAGGAATCTTATGTGGTATATACTTACATAAGCATATACACTTATTTAAAGTGTCTAAATGTGAATTTATTCACTCTTAATTCAAATATTTATTATATACTACTGTGTGCCAGGCATTTGATATACAGTGATGAGGAAAACAGACATAGGACTTAGAGTTTAGGTGTGGGAGACAGACAGTTAATAGATAAAACAGATAAGTATATGATTACAAGTTGAGAAGAGTCTTACGAAGATAATCCAAAGATGCTGGGATAGAGAATAATGGGGGGGGGTGGAGCTACCTATATTGTGTTGACATGGGAGGTCTATCTGAGGAGGTAATATTTAAACTGAAACTTAAAGTATGAGAAGGAATTGATGATGGGGTACCTAGGCACAGGAAGGAGCCTTGCTAAAATTCTAAAGTGGGAAAGAAGTCAGTGCACATAAGTAAGTTAGCAGGGACACTGCTCATTTTGAGGCTAGAGACCTAAATAAACAAAGACCAGATCATTAAGGACTTATAGACCATGGTGTATCAGTAGTTACAATTTCATTGAAATTTCATTAGGAAACTTGTGAGAGCTTTAAGGAAATGTGATCTCCTGTACTTTGGCTACTGAGTGGAATTGAACTGTCATGAAGCAGAAGAAGTGGGGTGATCACTTAGGAAGCTGTGGGCAGCAGTCTGTGCAAGAGATGATAGGACTGGACTTAAGTAATGCTGGAAATGTGATAAATGGAGTTGGAATATATATATATGCATTTGAGCAATATGTGTTGAAGGAAGAAGAAACATTAGTGACAGTTACAAAGTTTTGTTTTGTTTTTTTAAAGATTTTATTTATTTATTTGAGAGAGAGGTAGGCAGAGAGAGCATGAGCAGGGGGAGGGGCAGAGAGGAACAAGCGGACTCCCTGCTGAGCAGGTAGCCAGTCTCAGGGCTCCATCCTAGGACCCTGAGATCATGACCTGAGCCAAAGGCAGATGCTTAACCAGCTGAACCACCCAGTACCCCCAAAGTTTTTGTTTTAAGGTTGTGCCACTTCTTGCCCAATATAAATTGCCCATGTTATGACTTCAAAATGTTCTCTTTTTTCCATGTGAAAGTATGTTGGTATATGGATTTTCCAGTATAAAACTCAGTGGTACTTCCAATACAGAATTGTACCTAAGAGGTTAGAATTATTTTAGTATTTTCAATAAATCTTTCTACTTTGATTAGGCAGTCAAATCTCTGAACTAAATAAGTCAAGGAAGGAGTTCGTATCTTTAGATAAATTCAAAATAGAATATAGGTGGTAAGAAAGTTATTTTTCTCTATTAAATCTGAATAACATATAAAAGGGTTCAGTTTCTTTTGAATAATCAAATGCATTATTTTATTTGTTTTCTTTTATGGACATACAATACAAGTTACTTTTTCCTATAATTTAATGTTTCTCTGGGATTATTCCCCACTTAAAAGTTGATTGTGCCAGGAGAAGATTCTAAAACTAGTTTAAGAAAAGCTCAGTTTGATAAGGAATTTGGGAGGAAAGACATTTGAAGCACTTACCTTTAAGCTTTAGTTGTATAGTCTTTTACCCTCATTGTTGAATCCTCACAGCCCTGCCCTGTCATTTGTCTGAATAATCAGAAAATGAAATTGCCAATTACATATTTTATCTGATTTTTCTCAGTTTGTTAAGTATTTTTGTTAAGATTTATTAGAGAGAGAGAGAGAGTGGGTGGAGGGGCAGAGAGAGAGGGAGAGAGAATCCCTACGCATGGCTCAATCTCACGGTCCTGAGATCATGACCTGAGCTGAAACCAAGAGACAGGCACTCAACCAAGTGAGCCATCCAGGCACCTCTGTCTGTTAAATATTTTTGTTGTACATATCAAAGTCATATTAACAAGGTAATCTGGATATTCACAAATAACAGTTGATAGCATAAAATTAGAAAACAAATAACATTAAGATTCTAGACTGTGAGTAATGTTTTATATTATTTTAGGTTATCAAACAGGGGCTCACAGCTAATTCTTTACTAGACAGAGGAATGCAACTTTCAGGATCAACTTCGAAGTGAGTAAAAGTTACATACTTTTGAAGTTCAAAGTCAGTCTTTCTTGATTATTAGATATGTGGCATTTATCCTGAGAAATAACCATTCTTTACTTGACTATAAACTTTATTATTTATTTATTTAAAAAATGTTCCCTTCTAATTCTTTCTTTGACCCATGGCTTATTTAGAAATGCAATGCTTAATTTCCATGTATTTGAGAATTTTAAAAGATATCATTTCATTTTGTAATCACATAGTATGTTCTTTATAATTTTGATCTTTACATTTGTTGAGACTTGTTTTGTACCCCAGCTTGTAGTCTGTATTGGTGAGTGTTCCACAAGCAGTAGAAAAGAGTGTTTTTGCAGTTGCTGGATGGAGTATTATTTCATTTTTTTTTTTACAGCTTCTCATTTGTATTTATCCATTCTTACAAATAACATTTCATTGGCCATCATGTGGGAGGAATTGTCCAGGGCCTTGGGAAAATGAAAGAATAAGATTAGTTCTGGAACATTTTTTTTTTTTAGATTTTATTTATTTATTTGACAGAGAGAGAGAGAGAGACTACGGGAGCACACAAGCAGGGGAGGGGTCCGCAGGCAGAGGAAGTGGGAGAAGCAGGCTCCCCATTGAGCAGTGAGCCCGATGAGGGGCTCAATCCCAGGACCCTGGAATCATGACCTGAGCCAAAGGCAGATGCTTAAACCCACTGAGCCACCCAGGCACCCTCGAACAGTTTTAAAAAATGAATTACCGTAAATAATTCAACTCTATTGTCTGTCATGGCTTTGCCAACATTTCTAAGCAGCCACTAGCATTTCTGTTGGACATAATGAGCAAGCCATAACTTGGCATATTGAAATTGGGAACTACCAAGAATTCAGTATTGTAGTTTTCATATTTTGGAAAAGCCCCATCAAGTAAATATATCAGCATTTTTTTTCTTACTTGATGTATTAACCATCTTTGATCAGTTTGCATTTTTGCACCTCACTTATCTCTGCAAAGCATTTGGGACATAAAATATCTAATCTGATTCCATGAAAATTTTAGTTGAAATAAATGTATATTTGAGTGGCATTCATCTTAAGGAAATTCTAACTTCTGTTCTTTTTCATGGTGTTTTTAATATGTATTTACTTATTAAATTGTATAGTACACCATATACTCCTCTGGAAAAGAAAACTGTTGATAACACAGATGATGAAACGTTGACAGAAGAGTGGACCCTGGATCAGCCAGTCTCTCAGACCAGGACCACAGCCATAGTTGAAGTAAAAGGGACTGTTGATATTGTTCTGACTCCCCTGGTGGCTGAAGCTTTAGACAGGTATTTTGTTGAAAAACATAATTTTTAACTACTATTTTATAAAATGATTAAGCATATGTGATATGATTAGTGTATGTGATATGTGTTCATGAAGAAGATGTTGATGATGGCTATTTTGGTTGAACAAAGATGAAAATATGTTTTAAAAGATCTGTTATCATTTGTTACTTTTTCAGGATAAATTATATTGCAATATTAAAATAATTATATTGCATTATATTTTCCATTTTTTCTTTGGGCTGATAAGCATAAAATGATCAAACACCCAGGAACTAATTATTATTTTTTATATTCTTACTACTATCTAGTCAATGAAGGGATAAAGGGGAAATAATAGATTACTCTGTCCTGCAAGGAGCTTATAGTCTATCAAGGGAGATAAAACTACCATGGATGAAATCTAGAATGGAACATAATGGAACAGTTTAGATAAACTAGGCCATAGTATTAAGTGATATTTAAGTTTTTCGTTTACTATTTTTCTTCCCTCAGGTACATTGAAGCAATGGTTCATTGTGCTAGTACCCGCCATCCAGCTGCAATTGTAGATGATCTCCATGCCAAAGTCCTCAGGGAGGCTGTCCAAAATAGCAAGACTACCTTCTCAGAAAATGTAAGAACTTTTTATTCAATGAGTTTAGCAAATTGAGTACTCTTCATGTATGCATGATATCTGAACTTGAAAAAAAAATTGAATGTATTAAAATTTTATCGCCATTTAAATTGGAATACATGGACATTTCTAAATAGTCTTTATATGTTATTGGCTCCTTAAGAGATACCATATATAACTATACTATGGATTAAATAGCAGTAAAATATTTATTAAATTTGTAGTTTTATTTTTTCTTTTATTTCAGAAGTAGCTTAATTGTAAGCCTTTCCTAAAGAACTTTGGTCCTAAGTGAATGAGCATTCTTCCCTGGTACATTCATTTTCTAAGAAAGCAATGCTGCATATTATTTTGGCTTTTCTCTGTGATTAGATCATTTGTATCTTAATATTTTTAGATTATTTTTGTTCACTTCAGTGAATCAAGTCCTCATCTGCTGGTGTGTGGGAGTCTACTTATGCTGGAGTTCTAGCTATGGAGCCAGTTTCTTAGCAATCATATCCTCGTGCTCCATTTGACTTTCCAGTTTATCCGGGTCATATTTGGGCTAGAGACCAGAGGCATGGTAAAGTGAGGCTGATTATTTTTAATGATCCAACTATTCAAAACATTGGCATTTCATATGATATAGGTAGTTAGGGTCGAGGTACACACATCTTACTACTATTGTAAGAAATTTGAAAATATTCCCAGTCAACAAGGAGCCAATTATCAGATCCAAAATATGCTGTCAAATAAATACATTTTAGTAATTTTAAAATAATATTGCCACTTTTTTTTCTGTTTCTTTGTAGACTGGTTTCACTTTATTTTATATCACTTCTCTCAGCCCTGAAGCTTCTGGTATTTTTCCTAGCTTTTCAAAGCTAAACTGGATGGCAGCTGGCATATAGATGGGCATAAGGGAGCACAGTGAATAAGCAAGTTGCTATTGTGGATGTTGTGAAAATTATGAAAGTTCTGTGAAATAACAATTCTGCTTTAATTTCTTTAGCTATCTTCCAAACCAGATGTTAGAGGAACAAAAACTGAACACGCCACCATAGGAACGACTAACCAAGGACAAGCACAGACAAATCTTGTGATGAAGCAAGATAATGTAACAATTAAAGGTCTTCAGGCTAATGTTAGCATACCAAAGGTAACAATTCAATATTTTAAAAAATTTTCCTGGAAGAGGAGAACATTTTGGTGGTTTTTATCCTTTGTATTTACTAAACTGAATGGTGGTAGAATAGATCATAATATCAAAAATACAGATCTTATTCCTTTGATGATCTAATGTAAAAATTAATAATAGAAATAGTTTACATAAGTGGGATATTGGGTAGTATTTGCTAAAATATTCCCCTCCGTCCAGTAACAATTGAATTATGATTACTTTATGAGTTTGTGTTTATAAGCTTTATCTTCATTGCTCTCAGACACACAAATAGGTATACCATTCCTAACAGTAGTTTTTCATTTTCCTGGATATCTTATGTTTAAATGATAATATTTCACTTTTCATCTCTGAAATTTATGACATTTTGTGTGTTAGGTAAACTTATGTTTGTTACAAGCCTCAGTGGAAGAATCTCCAAGTACAGCTCCTAGTAAAAGTGTGACTCATGTTTCTCTAGTAGCATTGTGTTTTGACAGAATTGCTACGCAAGTTCGTATGAACAGGTAAGAAAGATTTTATTAATTTGAGCCGTAATTTTCTTGTTGGATGTAAAAGCAAGCCATAACCATTTTAATACATATCTGAAAATTCTAATGTTAAAACTCAAAATTGGTATTGGAATTTCAAATATCACTATAGATTAACAAAGTAGGTTTTTAAAAGTTTGTACTGTTTTTACTCATACTGTTTTTCAGTAAACACTGAAAAATTTAGTAATATTGGTTTAATTAAAACAGTGGAATTTTTTTAAAAACTGCTTACTAAATGTTTTTAGTGAACTATATTATTTAAATGTTCACCATCATACTTTTTTTTTTCTTTTTCCATAAAGAGGTGTGGTTGAAGAGACTTCAAATACAGAACCTGGTAGAACATCAAATTTTGATAGGTATGTCCATGCCACTAAGATGCAGCCTCAGTCATCTGGATCTCTCAGATCAAATGCTGGAGCAGAAAAAGGCAAAGAAATTGCAGCCAAGTTAAATATTCATAGAGTTCATGGGCAACTTAGGGGTCTTGATACAACAGGTAGGATTCTACAACAAATGTTTTTTTCTTTGACACATATAAATGTAAGAGGATTTTGCAAAAGGAGGCATGATTTTTTTCAAATATTGCTATAATTTGAATATTTTATAAGAGAAAGGTATTTCTGCATATATTGAACACATGGTATTTAATTCTTCACTCATGTTCTACGAGAATGGAAGGTAAACTTTGATAGGACAGTAAGTGGTATGGCCCAAATTAAAGGCACTGCTTCTATCTCCTGTTTTCTTCATTGTATCTGCCTGCTCATTATAGAAGAGGGAGTATGATCTTTGTCGTCTTTCTTACTTTTTAAAATCGTTCTGTTGGCACAACTTCATTAAAAAGAATTAATTGCAATATCAAAAGCAGATGGTCAAGTCTGTAAAATACAGTAGCAATTAGAATGATAGATCTGGCTATGCCTCTTAAAGTCCCTGGTGAGGTGAAAGAAAAAACTAGAGATGTCACATATCCTTTTAATATTTTTGATGTGATTCAGTACCTTTAGAAGCTTAAATGATCTCAGATTGTCAGAGATTCAATCTAGAAAACATTGAGTTTGTTAGTCTTATTTGAGACGATTTGCTACACTAAAATCTACATGTGGGACAGATGACCAATCCTGAATGAACAAATGATTACCTTGAATTTGCTCATTATATTCTGTAGGCTCTGAAGGTTCCATGATTCTTGTCTGTATTCTGGGTCTGTATAACTGTTGTGGTTTTCTCAAAGCTTATTTCACCATCCTTGTGTTTGAGAGCAAAGCATTTGACCTGAGGATTCCAAATAAAGAGACTTTTCTTGGCTACCTGAGATCTCTCATCCTAAAGCTGGTACAAAATACAGTGGCTTGAATATAAAAACTTTTCTCAGCTCTGTAGTTTGCACTGGTAACCAGTTTGCACTTGCATAAGAGCATAAGAAGTAACTAAATAGAATTTTGAAAAGCACACTATGCAGAAAAAAGTCATCAAAGACAAAACATTGTATAAAAATGCAGGGAAAAATGTAATTGTCTTTGTTTATATGTTCATAATCCTTTCATCTGTGAAAAGATTCTCAGTAATCTAATGAAATTTGTTACCTATAGGGAGAGGAAGTAGATTCCTGGGTGTGATTGTCAGAGGCTTTTCATCATATACCCTTTCACACGTTTTGGATCTTTGATCTGTGCAAGTGTATTACTTAGTCAAAAAATTTAAGTTTGATCCTCACCTTATACATCCTAATAAATTCATGGAATTAAAGGCAAATATAAAAAATAAATAATGAGAAAATCATAGAAAAATTCAAGTGAATATTTACTCTCTGATCAGGAAGATTTTCTAACCATAAATGTGAAATATAGTATTTTCATATGATGGAGTATTATATAACTATTATAATAATATCTTTGAAGAATTTTTAATGCCCTCAGGAAGTTATAATGGTTTACTGTCACTTGAAATATGGGAACCAAAACTGGTTGGTTTGTAAAATAATCTCTAAAAAGCTAGAAGGAAATTTAATTTGAATGTAAACAGGTTATCTCTGGGTGGTAAATTTACATGGTTTTTTTTTTTTCAAATCTTTTTTTTTTTTTCTGTATTTACTAGCTGTAATCAGAGAAAGAAATGAAAAAAAGTAAATAAAATACAAATCTTTGCCAGACATGCAGGATGTTAGTTTCCATATTGCATATTATAAGTGGTGGAATTATGGCAATGTCTGTATGAATTGTAATTATATAAAATGTATTATCATAAAGCAGTCCTTTAGTAAAAGCTATAATTTTTCTATTTTCTAATGTTTTTCCTGTAGCTGGGTAATTAATTAGAATGATTTCTTATTTTGTAAGATGATAAGAAAGTATTTAAAAATAGTTTACCATGAAGTTGAATTATTCAGGAGCTTTTTTAAATAGATTTTTAGAGTACCCTATAATCTTTCAGAAATGAATTCATTCTGCCTCTGAGCAATTATTCCTTAATTATGGAATCGTTTTTTTCTCCCTTTTACTTCAATGTGATTCTGGCATTTTTTAAATTGTAGGACATTAGACATTATTTTAGAAGTTGGTTGGCTCATTTATCTTTCTTTTTGGCAGAGTATTAAAATATCTTTTTAAGACAGACACAGTGCCAAATGTTTACTTTTTTGTTTTTTTTTTTTTAATAAAAACCTCTCTGCCTTTAAAAATGGTCATTTTGTTCTCTTTTGATAATAGATATTGGTACCTGTGCCATCACTGCTATTCCTTTTGAGAAGTCCAAAGTTTTATTTACTCTGGAAGAGTTGGATGAGTTTACTTTTGTGGATGAAACTGATCAGCAAGCTGTTCCAGATGTAACTCGAATAGGTCCCAGCCAAGAAAAATGGGGTTGGATAATGTTTGAATGTGGACTTGAAAACTTAACCATAAAAGGTAAGCATTTTTTTTTCCATTTCTGCTTAAGTGAGGTACAAATTGGCCCCACATTGCTGAAATGTTTTGAACAATTGTGACTTTTAATAACCTGAATCAGCATATTTAAGCAGAAAGTTGGGACCTGGGATTTTTTACCAGGGTGGGTGCCCTATCCCAATTGTGTAAGTGGGACTTCCTCTTCAATGTGTGATTAAAAACTAACAGAGCATGTAGAAATACAAAAAAAAAAATCACTGTTTGAACAAAAACATCTGTGGTTCAGAAAAAAAATTTTGAATAAAATGTAGAGCCACCCAGCTTTTGAAAGTTTGGTCTTTGGAAACTGGATTTTTGATTAGTAGAGCCTTGCAGGATGAAAATACTATAAATCCTTTATTCAGTGACAGACTGACTTACAGTTATATAACTTACAGTTATATACAGTTTTCTTTTACATTATTGAGTAATATATAAAAAAAAGGAAGGCTGAGTTATATATAAGACTTTTAGGTTAGTCATATATATATATAATAGTAATTGAGTATGCCTACAGTTCTTTACCTGATAATCCAGTCTTACATGACTTTTATAGATAAGGGCAAAGTTTTGATGAGAAAAAAAGATCTTTATGAATTTTTATTTTTATTTTTTTGTCTTTATGGGTACTGTACAGTGTTGAGATACCCACTGTTTTTAATAAATATATTCATTCATTCTTATAGGAGGAAGACAGTCTGGTGCTGTTTTATATAATACTTTTGGAATTATGGGTAAAGCTAGTGTCACAGAAAGAGGTGGAGTGCTGACATCCAATAATTCTTCTGATTCTCCAACTGGCAGTGGCTATAATACTGATGTCTCTGATGATAATCTTCCCTGTGATCGAATAAGCCCTTCTTCAGACTTAAATGGAAATTCTGTTTCAGATGAACAAGTTGGTGAATTTTTAATAATAATAGTGCTTTGAAAAAATAACAAAACTACATACCCATTTCAAAATTAATTTCTGGAGTATATTTGCTTCTTTCAATATTTGGAGTTTTGCTTAAGTTGTAGTCAAGATATTTTGGTGATTATACTACTACTAGAATATAATTTCTGAAGCATAGGTACCGTACCGTAGATACATCTATCATAGTACCTTGTTTAATGCCTTGCTCATATTGGGCACTTAATAATATTTGTTGAATTAATGAATGAATAGAATTTCAGAAAAGTAGGCATTGTTTTGATGTTGTTTCAAGGATTTTAGCAGAATTCGTGGAAATACTTAGTTTTGTCACTGGTAGTATTTCATGTAAGTTCTAAATATTTTTGTCACTATCCACCCATTTCAGCTAGAGTCCTGAAGAATACCTTATATGCAACTCATTTATTATTTTTATTATGGTAGACTGTCATGATGATTAATAATAGCAATAATAAAAATATTGAAAATTCTAGATCACGGAAGAGTTGTACCACTAACTGATGGGTGCAAGTTTTTTCCTCTTCGAAATTTCTTCATTTATAATAATATTGTAAGGATACTGACCTTCTAGACTTGTGAAGACTGAAATAGATAATACATATAAAAGGCTTAACTCAGTGTCTAGCACGTAGTAAGAACTTGGTAAATGTTGTTTTTAAACACATATGTACATACGTTTCTGATCATTTGGAAATTAGACCAATTGAAGAGAAAAGAAACCACCTTTTAATTAAGAAATGTCATGGATATGGGGGCCTGGGTGGCTCGGTAGGTTAAGCAGCTGCCTTCAGCTCAGGTCATGATCCCAGGGTCCTGGGATTAAGCCCCACGCTGGGCTCCCTGCTCAGCGGAGAGAGACCCTGCTTCTCCCTCTCCCTCTGCCTGCCTCTCTGCCTACTTGTGCTCTCTCTATATAGCTCTGTCAAATAAATAAAATCTTTTTTTAAAAAAAAAAAAAAAGAAATGTCATGGATATCTACCATTCATTGGCATAATCACCTCTGAACCCCAGGTTTCTGGTAATTTATTTTTTGAAATATTTATTTTGATTTGATACATAGTTCAAGAGTTTAATCACAGTTTTCTTGTGAGGTCTTTGGATATGTTTGAGTGGTGGTTGGGGATTAGCACATTAATTAAGGAAATTAAAAAATATAATAGCTATTCACTGGACAAAGGAGCAGGGAAGAGCCCAGCTGTTCTTTCTTTCTCCTCTATCCCCCTGAAACACTTGATAGAAGCTCAGATGTCAGGGCACCCGGTTGGCTCAATCATTAAGCGTCTGCCTTCAGCTCGGGTCATGGTCCCAGGGTCCTGGGGTAGAGCCCTGCATCTGGCTCCCTGCTCCGCTGGAAGCCTGCTTTTCCCTCTCCTACTCCCCCTGCTTGTGTTCCCTCTCTCGCTGTGTGTCTCTCTGTCAAATAAATAAGTAAAATCTTAAAAAAAAAAAGAAGAAGCTCAGATGTCTTCTTTGGTCCCTCTGATCCTTGTCTATTTGCTGAATGTCCCTAAATTTTGTAACATTGCTTTCTTTGGGTTCTCTAACTTTTCCTGGTCCATTCCTCATTCAGTTCTTTGTCCTTAAATGTAGGTGTTCTTCCCATGTTCTGTTCTTGGCTACTTTACTTTTCTTTTTAGGTCCCAGCCAAGAAAAATGGGGTTGGATAATGTTTGAATGTGGACTTGAAAACTTAACCATAAAAGGTAAGCATTGCTACTTCATTTCTGCTTAAGTGAGGTACAAATTGGCCCCACATTGCTGAAATGTTTTGAACAATTGTGACTTTTAATAACCTGAATCAGCATATTTAAG